ATGGGATATCTAACTGCCAGCAATATGAGGTCCTGTGAGGAGGAGTTATTGCTGACAAATAGCATCCCTGTTAATCTATGCAGCCTGTGTGCTAACTGAGCCTCATTCACACACACTTATGTCTATCCCCGCTATATTCACAGGCGACCTTTCAAACAAAGGTAAAATGACTTTGATTTTGGAAAAGGAAAAAGGTATTATCTCATTCACATCTGCCATGTCTGAATAGCGATGGTTTACAATTATCTACGGTTGGTGTGTGTGTGTGTGTGTGTGTGTGTCACTGCTGATCTGAAGGTGTCCCGTTACTCTAATGCTCCTCTCAGTAAAAAAAGACCTTTGGTTTCTTCCAAGCTATCACATTGTGCATGTCCGCAAAACACATGTGTGTGTAAGGCAGGAGGCCTCAAAGCGCTCATTGGAGCTCAATGGCTTAAGAAGATTGGGGTAATCTCTTGTCATATTTCAACCGCTGTGCCCACATGGACTCTGTCCTGGTTAGATCATCCATCCTTACTGTGAATGTGCAGAATGTGCGCTGTGCCCCGTGTGTACACAAGATCTCTGGCCTCGATGGGGAATGTTTACCCAGCTGAAGTCCAACTGAGTTGCACTTTCTCCCAGCTGTCCTGTACTGACTGCAGTGGAAGTCACTTAGGAGACGTCCATTGACCCATTGTAGATACGTGCAGGCTTGTCTGAGGTTTTTATAGCTTCATTAAACATCTCAATGAGTACTTTTAGACTTATTTATTTTGGCCTTAACCTTTATATAATTATACTGCCTGCTGTAATATTTCCAACTTCTACTGCACATGTGTATTTGCAGCTGAATCGAATCTAACGCATATCAGGAAGATTAGAAACAACAAAAATAGACACTTCGTCAGTCATTGTAGCCCACCGCCTATACGTTCAGCCTATAGGATTCAGCCCTTGTGTTGCAAAGATGCATGATTTGAAGTCTCAGTGCTGCGAGGCAAAGCAGGGTTGGAAGCAGGATCAGCAGCAACGCGAAGCAAAGCAGCTGAGCTTTGCAAAGTAAAACCTTCCGAACTGCTATCTGCTAAGTGTGAAGCGGTGACTCAGGTGAATCACTAGATGCGGTGAATACTTTGAGTGGTGGTTACAAAGACACAAATGCACGGAAGAACGTTTTGAATACGATGGGGAACAATAAAGTCTGTTGTTCAGCTGTCACAGAAGACAGCTGGTCGTCTGAACGGCGGCTTGGGATAAGACAAAGCTTATATAATGTATTGTAGATATGTTGACTACGGCAATAGTATTGCACTGATTTAATCGTAAACAGGCAACTGCATTCTTAGTTTCTGCAATCTTGCTGGAAACAAACTGATAAGATAAAAAGGACATTGTGAAGGTGATACTTTATGCATCTTTGACTTGGAGATTTCTATACGTTCCCTGAACGGACTTTGGTGTCTAATAATCTAAACTCATCATAGCCTACTAATAAAAATCCCAACCTTCCAACATGAACTTCCGTCACCTGTCCTCTTTTAACCACCAGACCAAAAAAAGCATCAAGGGAAATGTTTGACTACACCTTCAACCCTTTGCACAGCCATAATTCAGCCTCTCAATCTGTCGGCTGCAGCAGCGTAGCAGCTTCATCACCGCGCAATAACGCCAGACTCAATAGCGGGTGAGGAGATGATGCTCGGCAGGGGACGGTGATTCTCCCCAATCCGCGACACGACCGCCTTCTGCCAAGTATCTGCCAGATTTATGGCCGCGTCTCTTTGAATGTAGCCAATTTCCCTTTAATATGATATTAAAGAATGATGCATGCCTGAGCGTTGGTTGTTCCCATTCAGGGAGTCATGCCTTCACCGTGGAGGCTTTAAAAAAAAAGACAAAAGATACAGCTGATGTAATGTTCAATATTGATAACAGCCCTGAGAAGAATGGGCGCTGATCATTTAAGGAAAATATCCCGCAATTCTTTTTTTAAACTACTGTTTCCTGGCCCCGAGCCTGGATTCGTGTCATCTATCAGTTGGATTTGATGGGCAGATCCACAAAGCTCTTATCGCCTCGGCTAAAATGAACTCTGTCTGTATAAACAGGGCAGAGCCATGATGCGAAATGTGCTTCAATGTGCTTTTTTGTTTAAAATACGGATATGTGTCTGAGATCTTTGTATAAAAGCGTGTCATATCTTTTACCCCCATAAATAGAAGATTAAAGATTTATTTAGTCCAAACCGTGGCTGCTGTCATTGAATTGCGTTATAATGGAGCATACCAATGGCTCTGCATGTTTTAGCCCATTTCACTTTTGAATCATTTTGAAATTGTCTTTTTTTGCAATAATGCAGCTATTCTAAGGGGATACTGTACAGAAATAAATGGAAGCCTATCCTAGAATGGATAGAAAAAATACAACAAAAACAAATCTGTTTTCTCGATTGCGGGACAAAAAATACAGTCTGTGTGGTGTTCCCCCTTCCTGCCTCCGTGTGTGTCTCTGGCGTTCAGTGGGTCTGCTCTTGTTGATTTCCGCAGGGGAAGTTGCCTCAGTGCTATCCTCAGACAAAGCCCTGACCCAGGGGTTAAGGAATGTGAACCCAGGGCCGTGACGATCAAGACTCTCCCTCGGGGACAGACAATGCTGAACACCTCAGCAAACGCCCTAATGATCTCACATGCTTTTGGATTCCTTGTAGCACACTTTCTTCTTTTCATTTGGAAGAAAGGCAAAGAAAACAAGTGTAACAATTTGTCCGACACCTTAATTGGAGTAGTTTCCTATATCTGGTTTATAGAGGCTCATCTTAATTTCCGATGAACAAAAAAAACAGTTGCGCCATACAACTGTAAATTGGCGAGTTTTCTATTTCTAGGATCATTGCCCCTAGCATGTCTGTCAGGAACGCATGCCCGATCGGAACGGGCCGCTTGTAGACTCCAGGGATGTGAAGAAGATTTTGTTTGTATCCAGAGCGCATTTGACGTGTACAAACTGCACCAACTCTTACGCCCTTGGCTCCCAAGAAAGACTCCCGCCACGTATTGGAGATATACAAAAGACTTGTGTACACACAGATTGAGACTTCTTTCTCTTTGCTAATTCCATTGGACCAATGGTTGGACATTAAGAGCTATTTGAAGACATCACATTGGACTATCAAGATCTTCTAACAATGCATAGGAAAGAAATGCAGAGTATATTTATCTGTACATTCCTCAGGATCGGACACCATTGTCATTGCTGCTGAAAGAGGCCATATTCACTTTTAAGGATGAGCTTTTCATGAATGGTCCAAGTACAAAGGCAACCAAAATGCCTCTTGTCTCATTTATCACCCACTTAAAGAGAGGAGAGAGGGGAGAAGGAGGAGGAGGTTGGCTGTCAAAGCAACCTTAGCAAAGTGTATCCTAATGGTGCACCCCCCCCATCCTCCCGAGGCCAAAGCGCGTCACTTAAAGTGGAGGGAAAACCGGCCCAAGGGAGAAAAAGAGAAGAACCGAGCCAAGAGACATTGCGATTGTGAGGGTGAAGTTTGGACTCACCGCCTCCTTCCGCCGAGGTGCGACTTTCTGAGAAGAGCCGACAACAGCCTCCAGAGGATTTATACGGGTGGAGGTGAGGGGTCGAAACGCTATTAATCACGGCCCAGAAGTTGAGGGTTAAATAGCTCGGTTTAGCTCGGGCCGACCAGGGAGCCCGGCCCGGTGGAGGCGATTGAAAAGGCCGTGTTGTGTCTGTCTTCTATTACAGGGCAGGCGCTCCAGGCGAAGAGAAACAGCCTTGAGAGCTGACAACTAATGGTATGTTCAATCGTCCCCCCCCCCCCCACACACACACACACATCCCTGTCGCTAATGAGCCTAATAACATCGCTGCGACAACACGACACCCTCTGACGGTTGACAATTGTTTACTTGCTAAGATAGATGAAGGACGCGTTCACACAAAAAGGCCTTGAGTGGAGTAATTGCTCCTCACACATCTGCACACCTACACAAAAAGTGCGCACAGAAACACACCTTTAAACGGCGCGACTTAAATTTAATCTTTCTTTTCCTTATATATATATATTTTTTTTTTTTCTTGCGTAGCTGCCTTTGATCTTCAATGTGCCACGCATTGTATTAATTATGCATCGCCCCATTGGTGCAAACGTGGAGAACACCTTCAAATGCTCATCTCATGGGCCTTGAGGATGGCTGCAGGATGAGTATGCATACCCTATACAGCATATAGTATAATGCATAAGGGATTTCACAGTGTGTGTGTGTGGGGGGGGGATTGTAAAACCTAAATCTGTGGTACTTTCCTTCGATCTGGGCCAAAGGAGGGACACTTTTCACTCTCCTGGTACACGCGCCTGCCTCTATGTGTGCACAGAACCTGGGTGTTGAAGGGGAGGAGGTGCACACAAGAAGGATGTGGCTTGAATCAGGCATAAACTGTCATGTGCAGGACAGATACAGTGGCATGAACAGAGGAGGGGGGGGGAGAGAGCAAGAGCACTCCAACACATGCAAATGGTGCAGTAAAGCTTATGCTGAAAACTTTAAAGATTTCTGTGACGTTTTCTAGACGCTTTGATGGATTGACAAAAAACGCAGGCTTCGTGATGACAACAGTACATCTGAAAGTACCACAACCTTCTTAACAGTGATATCAATAATTGCAAATATACGATCAGCACTCTGAATGTCAGTCCTGTTTTTTTTAGGTCTGAGAGATGCTAATTGCATGAGCGGTGTGCAGCCTGTAGACATTCGCAGTTCTAACATCTGTCCAGAGTCAGAGGCCCTGACTCAACAGATGTGACTGTTACAGGAGGAGGAGATAAGCAGCGAGACGTGAATGTCGCTCAGCTAAAAAGTGACTTCGCGTGATTTGGGAGAAAAAAAACTCCGCCTTGCTTAAAGGCGACGTGCCCGCGTTTAGTGCTAAAAAACCAATGCGCTGCGCGTTTTCTTTCTTTCCGAGTTCGCGGTAAACCCGCGTCTGAACCCGCGTCGCTGCTGCTCGACGGTACGTCGGTGGGAGTACCCCCTGCGCGGCCCCCTTTTGCGCTTCTCTCTGCTAGTTGGAAGTTGTTGCCACGGCGAGCGCAGAGAGGGAGAGAGGGAGAGAGGGAGAGGAGAGGGGACGAGAGCGCAGCAGCTGAGCGGCCAAACGACAACACGGCGCAAACATCTCGGTTATCTTCCGAGACGTGTCACGCGTCGACCTGTCACTTCTACCGCTCCGTGCCCGCGAGTCACAACTTGACAGAGAGGACCGCGGCAGCACCAGCAACCACGGGCGGCCCGCCGGCGAAGTAACAACAACAACAACAACAACAACAAAACTCCCCCGAAACGCGGTCGTCTCAGCGGGCATGAGCTAACCGACCGACATGGAAACCAAACCGTTCCTGTCACTGGGTAAGTTGTAGCGTTGGGAATGTGTGGGACGTCATGGGTTCTTTAACGAAATGATAATTTACAGAATGGTGGGACTCGTGTCCTCGCGCTGTACCCCCCCCCCCCATGCTGACAGCGCGTGCCACACACATCTACATGTTTGTAGCGCACGTTGTTTTCTTTGGTTGTGTGCGTTAATAAAGCGGACACGTTTTGCGGCTGATGACGTCCCGCTCGGGAGGAAGCTGCGCGCGTGCAATTAAACGCGGACTCGTTTTTTAAAGTCATTTCAACTTTCAGCGTGTCCACGTGCCGCAGCGTTTGAAAGAGACGTCCCGGTTTAGTAACAGAGTTACGAACGTGTTTATTTTTCTTCCCCGGTTTTTACTTCTTTAGAACCGCCTCAGTAGTTCGGTCCTTTTGTTTTTTGCCTCTTTAACGCGTTTCTTGTTGTCCGTCGCGTGACTCGGTTTAAACGCGCTTCCGTTTGTCTCTGAGCGTTGAAAATGAGGCCGAGCAGCGTGAGAATTGGGAGTTTAAACTCGTGGCCCCTGTGCTCAAACGAAGAGGCTCGACTTGTTGACAGTTGTCACACTAAATGTCAGCTCCGGTACAAACGGGCGCACGTGTATCAGGGGCCAACTAAACTTAGTGTGGACCAAAATGCAGATTTAATCTGCAAAAGGATCAGAGACTGCGCTTGGCTGAAGTTACTGGATTGGCCACTATTTGTTGAGGTGAAGGGCAACTGTCACATTTATTTACCCTCGCTGCATGTCACCAGAAAGTAAGAATAAGTGGAGCAATATCATTTCAATTAGTGACGCTTGAATTTCCAGAAAAAGCCTAAATACTTTTTCTGAACTACTGTTCTAAAACCACTAATCCGAGTCGTTTCTTTTAGAAATATTCCTCTTCAAGCAGCCGCTGTCACACGCCACACTGTAAATAATTAATGCTGAGCTGCTGCTGTGAGTTTGTCAAAGTGAACCCCCCCTCCCCCCCCTCCCCCTTCTCCTGCAACAGAGACACAGTACAGATCTGTGGAGCAGACACGTTATTGTGTCTGCCACTCTTTTCATGGGAGGGGGGTCGCATTACAACCTCAACGCGGTACATCCTCAGCCCCGCCTGGATGCACCCAAGGAGATTCACAGGAGAGGGGCTGTGGCCGGGGGGCTTCTGAGACTTCTGAGACGCCGGGTAGGCTTTCTTCTGTTACAAGGGGGGCCAGCGTTCGCACACACTTGATGGGCCTGTTATTACAGGTGCAGCGTATTGTGTGTCCACGCCAAAAGTGCTTCAAGTTTCAGTGTGCCTGAGCGTACTCCGGAGTAGCTCAAGGAAGATGGTTCCTGGTCTGGAAGGCCCAGCGGGTTCCCTGTAAAAACACTTTAATTGTTCAAATAATTAGAGCCCCCCCTCCCCTCAAACAACCCACCCACCCTGCGTTCGCTGCAGCAGCTCTTCCGTGGTCCTAATCTACACTGGCCGTAAATCTCCACCTTCTATTAAACTTGCTCCGTCGAAGGGCCACTTGAGTGGCGATTTGTAATCGGGCCACTTCAAGGACACCAGCCGCTGTCCGCCGGAGTCCTTGGGACGTATTGATTGGCCGCTCGCTCCGTGTAATTATCTGCCGGGCTGCATTAAGAGGACCTGATGCGCAGCTGTTTGAAGTGACAGCGGCTCCATCTTTACAGTTATGGATCGGTTGCGATGGCTACAGTTGGCACCATCTGCTCGGTGCTTTCAGCAAAGCTGTGAAGACTGAAGAGATGCCATTGGAAGGAGAATGTGTCCTTTCAGTTTGGAGCAATATGGGGCTGATCGTGACGGCCTGTCAGGGGGAAAAAAAACAGAGCGAATGAAAAATAACGCAAGTCCGATTCTTAGTCTTTTGCAACAGGGTTAATTACTTGATGTCCCCCCCAGGCAGTTCTCCTAAAGCAGCGTTCATCAGCTGTTCTCACATTCCTGGCCGCCTTTATTCTTATTTTTCCAAGACAAGTGTCTTGTTGGGACAAGAGACCCCGAGGGAAAAATTGAGGCGATTTTAAGATCCAGTGAGCTTGATGACAATTAGACGGTTGATGGAGATGCAGAGCCAACATTCAGAGGAAGATGAAAAGAACATCTTTTTTTCTTCAAACACAGCTATCAATAATTACGTGTATTGGTATTAGTAGTAGTATTTTTTGGAAAGTGATCGTTCACTCCAAACGTTCTATGGTGGTTTGTGTTTACGGGAGCACAAAGTACCACCACACACACGCACACACACACACACACACACACACACTCGCAGAAAAGCAAATGAAGTTCATGGTCTTTGATGAGAAAGTGAGATTCATGCTGGTGTGTGTGTGTGTGTGTGAGTGTGGGAGAGACCGACATTCCTTTTCTGGCAGTAACTCAGGAACAAAGGTAACACAGGGAGTGTGTGTGTGTGTGTGTGTGTGTGTGTGTGGTTGTGCGCGCGGTGGGAGTGGGCTTGTGAAATTACACTTAGCATTTGGCCAAGTTTGTCTTTTTACGGCCGTCCAGTTTTGTGTTCCCGATGTGACGCTTTTGCTCCCCTTTTGAGAAAAGGGGCTGCAGCTGTCATTTTTATTAGAGGACTTTTATAGTGAGACTTAATGGCTTAAAGTGACAGCTCTCTCTCCCCCCCTTCCCTTTCTTCTTTCTCTCTCTCAATCTCACCCACGAGGCCTTTTACTGAAGCAAATCAAAGACAATTAGCTTAATGCCCGGCCTCGGCCACTTTCCCACCCCTCGCCCCCAACAACATCCAAACCCAACTGCACCAGGGTTACGCTGCAATTACCAACTCAGCCAGAGAGCATTTTGTTTTCTTATAATTACACTAAACCGTAGACCAGTTGTTGTTCTTCTCTGTGCAACATCTCTGCCGATCATCACGAAGCACTCGGCGTTGGCTCGAGTTGAGTTCTAAACATTGCACCAATCACCATGCACAGAATCAGACGGCTCGTTAATTATTTATGTGAGGAGCTCCTCACTCGCAGGAGGTCTTTATTGATACCGGCCAGCGGTGAACTCTGCACCCCGAACCTTGACCTCTGCTCCCCCGAGTGCTCGATCATTCCAGGAATTCCCCTCCGGCGTTCAATCTGTGGTTGGTGTTTTAAGGACAGTAGCACGTCCATCTTTGCCTTTGTTTTGTCTCACTTTTTCTGTGTTCTCCTCTTACCTTGTTTCTGATCTCGTATTTTACCTAAGAATTTGTGATTGTGACTATACTTAAAAGTAGCCTTCATATTCATAGGAGCAAAGTTTACATCCTCGCATCCTGTACAATTTAGTTTAGACAACATGAGACAGGAAGGCTCCAAAAAATATATATTTTTAAAGCTAGAACAAAGGATTTTGGCATGTTTTTGGTTAATAACGATTTGAAATTGAGCGTTTGGTTCAGTTTGGATTGGTCACCATTCAATGTTGGAGTCATCCCAGCACCTTTTGTTGTCAGTGTTTATTGCTGCTCCTCCGAGACTCTGAATGGCTCTTTTCTTCCTTTTTTTGGGGGGGGGGGGGGAGTATTCAGACCGCGTACAGCCACTCTTTTGAAGTGGAGACGTGGTCTCCAGTGGGGATTCAGCCAGCTCACGCTTGTAATACGCATGGAGGGGAAGGTCAGTTCAGCTTGCTCTGCCCCACAGCGCTCCACTCCGTGTTCTGCATCATGGCCGAGCCGAGATAAAAAGGATCGATATAATCCAGGAAGAACACGGCGGCGTGTTCGAGACGTGTTGCGGAACCACAGAACCATGCGATTAAAAAAAGCAAAAAACAAACAGACAAACGTCTGTCTGTCAGAGAATGGCCGAGTGTTTTCAATAATAAAAAGAACAGACGCCTCTTCCTCTGATTGCCCTTAATGCCTGAAATATCTGCTGTTATGATGTGTTTTGTAATTAAGTTATGAGCACATAGGCTTTGATGGCTATTCACTGGAGAGGTTTGACGAATGGAGTGAATCCCAGATATGTTATGCCTCTCCATGTCATTGTATTTCCGTTATGCCCACATATTCTTTCCACGCTAATTATAATTGGCCCCAATGAGAAGCGCAGATGTAAAAAAAGTAGTTCTGCAGAGCAGTGCAGCCGGAGTGAATAGAATGATTTTCCTTGATGCACGCAGATGATGGGGTTTCCAGATTCGACTACAGCAGGTCATTGCTTTACACGTTGTAATAATATTCATCAGTGTGCTAAATTATCAAAAGCTGAAACGATACGTTTGATGTTGCTTCAGAAGAAATGGACTCCAGCTGTGAAGTTGCCTTTCTTTTTTAAAATTAAAACGGTATATTCAGGTGAATGCACACAGAACCCCCACCGGCTTTTTTACACGCGTGCTGAGTGCAGGCAACACACACAAACGTGTATGTACATGTAAACGCTCGCTGTCGCCGTGGAAACAGAGCGAGGTAATTAAGATTGTGTCTGTCGTTGCTCCGTCGCAGTTTTCTTTTTGAGGTCACGGAACGAGTCGGTGTCCCAGGGTGCCCTCTCGCCGCCGTAATGTTTTTCGCCAGTGGGGGGGTGGGGCCTCCACGCACTGCTGGGCAGAGTCACGGAAATCCCACAGCATGCAAAACACCTCGGCCATGTCCTGCGTGTGGGTGTGTGAGTGGGTGTTTGGGCGTAAACAGGAGGCAGCAGTTGGACAGGACATGTTGGAGGTCACATGCATTTTACAACGGCATGCACGCCAACAAATGCATATCTTTACCGTACATTTTTGTATATCGGATGAATTTCTTTGAGTGGCCTCATTTTCCAGCTCATACATTTAAATGTTTGCTATTATGATGGGAAATGTTGAAGTCAATTTTGAATGTTTTTTGATTTTTACACAGCAAAGCTAAGCTTTTTTTTGTAGAATTCTCAAAGCTGGCCGAGCTTCCATATTCCAGGTGGATGTTTATCCTGGCATCACAAACGAGATCGGACCTCAGACGGCTAAATATGAGAACACAAATGAAATGTAGG